CAATCTGCTGGCAAAGCTAAAGCTACATGATTGTGTTTGGAGCAGAAACAACTAAGAACAGCTGCGGCTAAACACACACTATAGTTATAGCATACAGCTTGATTCGTGCCTTCCTTGGGGCATGGTCATGTAAAGTTAATACTTCTTTTGAGGAGACCTTTAAGCAAATCGTTGGACAGTCACATCAGCAGGTGGAGTTTTCTAACTTCCAGGAGGATCAATGTTTCTTGGATTATAACCTGCATTGTTGCAGCATCTGCTCTTCATGTGAAACATCCAGCACACAGAGCAGCTGTCTCAAGTAGATCCAGTGACGTCTCCACCGAACTTCTAGTATGAACGACGGCATCCAAGAATTTTGCTCTTTAAAATGTCTGACTTCTCACCCTCCTCTGATGTATCACTTTCATGTAGGACTCAAGGCAAATATTAAGTGAATGAAGTTTCATTTATTTAAAATTGCACAAGTGGAATTGGATGCTTTTGACTGGAATTCCTTGAAACCCCGAAAACGTTATATTTTTTAAAGGACTAACCAAAGTAGATGCAGAAAACAATGATGTGACAAAATCATTAGAAAAATTTAATGATTTTTTTTAAAGGGAAAAACTGTGAGATATGACAAAAAATTATACCTCTGTGGTCTAGAAGAATCTCAGTCAGTAGGAGTCAGTTTAAACATGTCCTCAGTTGCCTGATAAAATTATTAAATAATAATAATGAAATAAATAAATATAACATAGAATCCCTCCACTGTTTACTGTTCTACGAATGATTTTATATATAAAATCTGTACAAGTTCTGAATATCATACATTGTGCAAGGAGTTCATTAATAATCCCAGCTCTGTGATGTCTGTAATCACAGAGCTTAACAAAATGTGTGAAATAAATTAATTTGAAGGAGATCGTTCTTGAAAAGAAACTCTTAACATTATAAAGTTTATAAATTATAACAGATCCAAAACAAAATGACAAAAGAAGCATAAAAAGAAAAAAGAAACCAGCTTCTCATCTTAGACAAATGTCCCAAAAATGTCCTTGTGTTTAAATAATTTAGGATCTACATCTGTGAATGTTGCAATTTCTGAGTGAAAAACACAAAATGACTGATTCTGTTCATCTGGACGAAGCGCTTTCAGTGGGAGAAACGTTTCGTTCTCATTCAAGTGACTTGTAAACTTATAACCTTATAAACAGATCATTTGCATAATGACTGGAATTAGCACCACTGACTAGCAATGGCCCACGAGGTCAGTTTTATGATTGCTATTAAGTCATGACCTTTGATCTGTAGTCACGAGCACCATTCACAGAGAGTCGGGGCTGCAATCACAGCTGCACCCTTTGGTCCTTCCTCAGTTCAGAGATGGTTGTCTACTCTTTACGGCTCTCCTGTCAGAACAGAAATATTGAGTCTGTTTAATGCAGTCATTCATTTTTTACTTCATACTTTTAGGATTTGGAACATTTATTTTACATTTATAGACATTTATATAATAATAAATAATATTTAAAAGTTTTTAGAGATGATATTAAATAGTGTAGTTTGGTGTGCTGTACTTACATTAGGATTTAA